ACTAACGATCAATAAGGATGAACAGTGGTTAATAACGGTTAATATCCATATACTGGTGGTTGTGTCCAATGGATGTTGTTATAATGATACCTTATGGTAATTGTTCACAGTTTGCAAACTGGAGGCCATGGCTCGTCAATAGTCAGTAGATGATTTATCTATAAGAAATGGTGGATGTCCGTAAACGTTATAGCATCAACCCGCTAGCGCAATTTTGTCCTATTGCAATAAATGGACAATGACTGTAAATGGACAATAATATGTACATAAATATACAAATAAATAATAAATCATTTACCGAAGGGTATGTTTGTTTGTGTGCTGGATTGTAAACGCCATGAGTGCTACATTTCAAATTGCCATAAACTATAAACTTATTAGAGTCTGAGTGTCATTTACCAACTTAGCTATCGTTTGAGGGTCCCTGCTTGAGAATTGGGTTTCTTGGTATAGCACAATATACATTAGCCGTTATGGAAATACCATGGGATTGTATGTATAAATATGTTTACTTGGACCCTCTAAGTACCCCAAAACAAATTCATTCACATATTTTTTACGACATATTATTGCATGTATTCATCTTTAAAGGTACATGGACGATCTAGTTACACCAGTTTTTTGGGTTCCCAATGGGGGTACACCCAAATCATCCAAGTCATGGTTGACCATGACTTGGTATTGAAACAACCACGGTTTTACTATGGGATTCCCCATTTCAGATTTCAGAAACCCGCATATCAGCCCCAATTTTAAGAAACCCCCATATCAGCCCAAAAATGATTGATACTTGTAGGTACTTAATTGGAGGATGGTAAGCATGGTGATATGGTAAGGTACTTATATTTTTTCATATCACTGCACCGATGTAGCCTACAAGTATCTTTCTTATCTGTATAGTACTATATTACAGGTGCATTACAATGATATTCTTATAGCTGTATAGGTGCACAAATATATACACCCATTTGTTTCACATGTTGTTCAATATTGTCTCTGACTATCCTATCCGAGGTCGTTTTTATCCACTATTTAAGTATAAGTATATATAAGTACCACATTAGTATTTTGACCATGTTTATGGTATATCCCAAAACGGTATTACCCCTCCAATATTAGTATTAGTAAAATATAAATATAAGTAACATGTATTTTACCATATTATTTGTCCATGTACACATCTTTAGCACCTGAAGGATCCGGGGCACAGGGGCCTCATCGATCTCCTCGTCCTCATCCAAGTCATCATCGTCGAAGTCGTCCATGGCGCGCCGGCCTGATTCAAAACCAGTCAAGCGACAGGGATGGTACCCTATAAGATAGCTGGTTACCCTCTGGTAAACTAACATAGCTATGAAAAATGGCCATTTATAGTTGATATACCCATTTAAAATGGTGATTTTCCATAGTTATGTAAACGATTACCAGAGGGTAATTGATGTTTATTCCCCTAAATAATCTAAATATGATTTAATAAACAGGTTTTGACCCATCCCCATATGTTTTTCTCCGGTAACCTCTGGTAAATATTAACAATTCGACCCTGAAAATAACAATTTTTTAGTGGAAACTATTCTTCCAACCTCTATCTGGCAGGGTCTGTGTTAATTTACCAGGGAAATTCCCTCATTAGTAATTGGTAAGAATGGTTAAGAATTGTTAAGAATGGTTCAGAAAGGTCCTTACTAAGTCAATACCGGCTGATCCTAGTTAATAATGATTAAAGTCGAAATATGACAATTATGATTGATCACTCATTAATACGAGTGTTCAATATGCTATGGATGTTGTCATGATACCCTCTCGTAGTTTGACAGTTTGCTTTTTGGAAGATAATGTTTTTTTAAAGGGAGACGAGGTAAATGATCTTTGAAGGGAACAATTTTCCAAAGCAAACTGCAACGTTACCGGAAGGTGACCAATGACAAACATCGGCAAAGAGTTGCTGGCAGCAAATGGGCACTCAATATTAGATAGCGCAAGAAAAGTAACAAACTATAGATAAATCGATATTTGGTAATTGAAGGTAATTCACAAAGAACAATTCAATAGGCACAGTTGCTTAATGCTAATGTTTGATTTATTGTTGGTTACTATTGATAATTAAATCATTCATTATTCTACCTACAAAAAAACAACTTGAACTGTAGGACCGGAGGTGGGATCCTGCAGTCACTATGGTGATGACATCCACCATTTCCTTAGCAGTTTGCTTATAGGGGGTCATAATCCACTTACCAACCAACTAAAATGTGGGGCGGCCCATCCGATTAAAGGTTGGTTTATAATCCCATCTAGCTATATATTCTAACTATCATTGACATCCACAAACCCTAGGTAACCGATTTATAAAGCAACTGAGCTGTTTTGGGGCCCTACATTGCACCAATCAGCTATGTTGGTTTACCTTCCCTACTAACTGTAGTTGTAATTCTGGCAACATTGGCAACCCGCCCCCGGGCCTCTGCGCTTGAACAAGCGCACTCGGACTGACACCACTGCGGGCCGACGGATGAGCCAGCGGCGAAATTGAGGACTTATGAACTTTGATCACAACAACGGGGTACAATGAATATCTATCTATCTGGTGGTTTTAGTATTGAAACCTATGGTTTCTGGAATTCCCCATTGTAAGAAACCCCTATATATAGATATACATGTCAATACAGATATGGGAAATCCGGTATAATTAAAGATTTTAGTGGGAATCCTTTATACATGTAGGATTTAGTGGGAGAATCATCATTCAATGGGAATTAAGGGGATAATTGTTCATTATAAAAAATATATATGTATATAACTAGACCCTCCAAGTACCTATTAAACTTGGGAGAAGTGCAGATGGTATGGTGCAAAAAACTTACTCTGTTGGAGGACTTGGAGGGTCTAGGTATACAGCTATGGCTATTTTAATGAGATACATGATGACAGTGGGGTTCTCAATGGATTTGTTTAACCCAGAATATCGTCAAGGAACAAAGCTAGAGAGGCAAATCAGAGTAAAGGTGGTTAGATCGTCACGCAAAATGATAACAAGGTACCAACCTGACCAATCCAGGGACAGGAAGGCACGATGCCGAACCAATTGTGTTGTTTCTGTTCTGGTTCCCACGCTAAAGATGGGGATGTTCTGCAGCTGTTCCCTTCATCATCCTTGATCTAAGTCAGGGATTGAATGCAAAAACTTCGACATGATGGTAATTACCCTCTGGTAAACTAACAGTTTGCTATAGAAAATCACCAATTTGAATTTTGAATAGGTAAATCAATTATAAATGGGGTATGTTCAATAGCAAACCGTTAAATTACCAGAGGGTAATCACCACATATGTCAGATTTTGGTGATGAGTTCCTACAATGTGGTTCAACCAATTAGGAAAATAAACCATCCCCAAATGCTAGGTACATTCGTGGCTTTCCCACGTTACTTATTCTACCAGTTTCATTTATCTAGCACAACCCTTAACCCCAAAGCATGGCAAAGCTACTGGAGGATACGACTGCCATGTGCGCTGCCATGGTCAAGCTATAGCAGCTACATGGCTTTAAGGATGGTGATCTATCCCATGAAACCGAAATCCAAATAATCCCATCACCCTTATATTAAACACCCCAAGTGCATGGTCCCAATGGAATGTGGAAATTCCCTACTAAACCCATGGGGTTTCTATAAGGGGGTGTTTAATATTACGGGGAAGAGATTATATTGACATTAACGGCATACACAAATGGCTATGAGTCATAACTCTGGTACCTGGGTACCTGGCACCCCAAGTCATAGCTGGATGCTGGATGGTTATTCCCCCGGTAATACTAGGTGTTGACCCATCCCCAAATCTTATGAAAGGATTGATGATCATCCCAATATACAAAGAATTTAGAGCAGGCAAAAGGTCAATTTATGGCTCCTATCACATTTCCAAAAAGTCATTTTTGGGTATCTCAAGCTCGCTGGATGGTTTATTTATGTTAAAAAATCATGGAAAATGCCATCGAACGAAATGGATGATGACTAGGGGTACCCGCATTTCAGGACACCCCCTGTATTGCTTCAATCTTTACCTGGGTACGGCTGGCAGTCTGGGTAGCCTGGGTGAATTTGGGTGATCGTTTTTCCCCCCAAGTTGTTGATGGGATACCAAAGTATATCGTTCCACCAAAAAAAATCTAGGTACTTCTATACCAAAGTTAGATGCTACGATAACCAACCAAAAGTATCTGGTTGGTGGTTTCACCCCCTCTGAAAAATATTAGTCAGTTGGGATCATTATTCCCAATATATGGAAAGTCAAAAAATTCATGTTCCAAACCACCAAACAGTATCTGTATGATCCTAGTTAGCCTATTTCCAAACCAACTAACCCAGCTCACAGGCTGCATTCAGACTCTATTTCTTCCCACATTGACACGTCGTGGTCGCTGTGGCCACGTGGGCTGGGGCTGATCATGTTGAATGACACGAAATGATGTGTTTCTGAAATCTGTGTCATCATCATTCACAAATGCCACACAAACACATTCAGATTTCTGAACATAATGAAATGTGTTTCTGGTTTATGATTCTGATTCAACACAAAACACACCGCAACAAGATTCATTCAAGAGAAAAACCGCATGATGGAACCAATTGTTGAGGTTCCATGTTGCTTTTGAAGGTTTGGGGGAAACTAGCTGAAACAAAAAAAACAAGGTTCAAAATTGCCCATAGAAAACCCCAGCTCAAGTATCCGATTGGACCCAAATTTGCAGGTCCATATGACCCACACTCATATAGATGTGTCTGAACATGGGGCCTCAAATGGGCTCAAATTAACCGTCAAACTCGGGGTATTCGATGTTCAAACAAACTCGTCTTGTTGTGGGTCAAAACTGTCAAACCTCGTGCAATTTTCCAAAAACTAGCTACAGTGTGGGGACCCAAACTGTAAGTTGGGATATAAAACCATCTACCTTTCATTATAACTGCCATAAATAAACCCTAGTCAACATAGTTATAAACCAACTCAGCTATCGTAAAGGGGGGCCCCACATGGCCCCACATTGTACATATGATAGGCATTGATAGGCTACCTGTGGCTCCAAAAGTCACTTATAGGTCACTTACGACAAGACTTGTCAGTCTGAAATATCTTTCAGGTTTTGTTTTTTCAGCTGGTTTGCTTTATCCTCATGTTTCACAGAAACAGCCCATGCCTATCCAGTCGCTTTTCGATGGAGCTTGGAGGCTGGCAGCAAATGGGGATCTTCAACGAAGTACTTGGGTCTAGGTACACGCATTTTCATTGAGATTTCATGACCCCGTGGTAATCATTCCAGCTAGCCATGTTTGATTACCAGATGGTATTTCTATAGGGAACATGATGAACAAACATCATCAACCTGCAATTTTATGGTGCAATTTTGACGACTCTCTAGAGGGAGAATGATGATAATCAAATTTGGGGGTATCTTATCTTGTGACTGACCCACATCATGGGGGAACACTTGTAGATATCTTAATTGGCGGCACCCAACCTTTGCAAGGTCTATATGGCCTATGCAGGAGGGGCTGTGACTTCCAGTAACGATAAGACAAGTGGCATGATGTCATTTTGACCATTTGGTCATATAGCAAGGCTACAACTCCACTAATTTGATACTGAATTCGCCAATACAATGAGAAATGCAAGCTCACCCGCGTGATAATCATGATATCATATAATAATATATAATATACATAAGTTGAAACAACGAGAATTCACGCTAATTCGCGCAGGACCATTGAAATTATATACCATATGGTTATTTAACATAGCGAGCTGGAAAATCCCCAAAATATTTCTGGAGGTTGATGTCGCTGGGAAAATCATCTTCTATGGGTCATCTATTCCATGGCTATGTTAAATAACCAGAAAGTACCTCTATAAATACCCAGTGTATTCTCGGGGTGAACTCTGCAGGACTCGAAGCTTCAAATCGAGATGGTCACCTATTGACCTATTGTTTGGTGCTTTAATTCTATGGAAAATGATAGGGAAAAATCATCGGAACCTACATCAATGGGATATCAATTGGATTTATGTGAAAACCCACCTCGGTCGATATATCATGATATATCTAGCATAACTCCAAGCAAGTTTGCCTAGTTACTTCAGCCAATTTAGAAAAAGGAATTGGGGGTCACCACCGTTTAGGTTTAATTGCTACGAATAAATAGGGCCTAGCTGGGCTGACCGGGCCCAGCCCTACCTCAAAGCCACTTGTTTGAAAAAAATCATGTTTGGTATACGTGTTGCTTTCTGACTGTTTATATATATATATATGTTAGACATATACATATAAATATATATATATATATGTAAATATATTGATATAAAAGGTCAAACATCATGTCATCACATTGCCCCTTGTTGATTATTACATGTTGTTACCGTGTGAGCATCTTCGAGCTGAAGCATCTGGTCACGAACTCGCTGCGACATCGGTGCGACATTACTTGGATGATCAGCCCACCTAGTGGGCGGGAGAGACCTGAGAGGAACAGGAAAACCCTACGGAGCCTACAATGGGGGACAAAAGGTCAAGATATTTAAGATGTGTGTCGCCAAAAAAAAATCTAGCTAGCTATATATATATATATATGAAATGTAATGGGATTAAAAAACAACAACTTGGAGGTGCAGTTGGGGTTATTAATTGCTATAATTTTGGTGAGTTCACCAACAAGAAGTTGGGATGATATAGCCCCCATGTTCTATGGGGAAATATATCAACCAAAAGTTGACCCTCAAGAAAAAGTTGACCCCACCGCTGGTAGATCTGGTTTCTCAATGACCCAAATATCCATTGCTTTACAATGTGAGGCCCCCGTTCGATAGCTAAGTTGGTCCAAATAACTCCAATAACTACGATTTATGGTACTTATAGCGAACTAGTTACTGGGGCTTATAAACCAACTTATCTATCTTGGGGGCCTCACATTGTGGGGCTAGTTACCATTTTTGATGATCATGCTCGAAACCATCAAATGACAGTCTAGGAGAAGTGCAATGGTGCTATGCTGTCTAATTGTGGGGTTACCAACCCATACTTAATCAACCAGGAGGGCAATGGATCCCTATGAAATACCTATATATACTATTCCGAGGCGTCATAAAGCATCTCCTATTTGAACAGGAATTTGATGGAATTAGTATAGTATATCCATTTATGTTACTAGCCAACAGATACTTACCTATACCATTCCAATTATAGTATTACTTGCTATTCCATTCATTGATGGAATTCTTCCAAGCGGGAAAATGAATGATCAATGGATATTCATGGATGATTCTCCCTAGTTTTCCAGGCTGGATCTTTCTCGACAAAACTCAGCCATGCACATATAAATGTGTCTGAACATGGGGTCTACCCGGTCGCCAAAAGTGCTATTTGAAGGAGGGAACATGATGAACAACCAATGGACGTTTCGGGGTTTCATAAAAGAAATCCGGCACCATGAAGGGTAAATCACCATCTCCA